AAATATTTTTTTGAGAATTTCGAAGGCGGGAATGATTTGTCCCGTTCTATATATTTCTAGACAAAGCAATTTTGTATCCGTTCCTACGGAACGCAAAGCAAGAGTTAGCTGACGCGGGGTTATAGATCAATGGTAGAGCATTCGACTGCAGGTCGAGAGGTCCCTTTCTTCAGGGAAGCGAAGAGAAGTATTTTTTTCAGAATTTCGAAGGCGGGATTGATTTGTCTCGTTCTGAATATTTCTAGACAAGACAATTTCGTATCCGTTCCTACGGAACGCAAAGCAAAAGTTAGCTGACGCGGGGTTATAGATCAATGGTAAAACATTCACTGCAGGTCGAGAGGTCCCCTTCATCAGGGAAGCGAAGAGAAGTATTTTTTTCAGAATTTCGAAGGCGGGATTGATTTGTCTCGTTCTGAATATTTCTAGACAAGACAATTTCGTATCCGTTCCTACGGAACGCAAAGCAATAGTTAGCTGACGCGGGGTTATAGATCAATGGTAGAACATTCACTGCAGGTCGAGAGGTCCCCTTCATCAGGAAGTGAAGTATTTTCAGAATTTCGAAGGCGGGATTGATTTGTCTCGCTCTGTATATTTCTAGACAAAGCAATTTTCGTATTCGTCCCTACGGAACGCAAAGCAATAGTTAGCTGACGCGGGGTTATAGATCAATGGTAGAGCATTCGACTGCAGGTCGAAAGGTCCCCTTCATCAGGGAAGTGAAGTATTTTCAGAATTTGGAAGGCGGGATTGATTTGTCTCGTTCTGAATATTTCTAGACAAAGCAATTTCGTATCCGTTCCTACGGAACGCAAAGCAAAAGTTAGCTGACGCGGGGTTATAGATCAATGGTAAAACATTCACTGCAGGTCGAGAGGTCCCCTTCATCAGGGAAGCGAAGAGAAGTATTTTTTTCAGAATTTCGAAGGCGGGATTGATTTGTCTCGCTCTGTATATTTCTAGACAAAGCAATTTCGTATCCGTCCCTACGGAACGCAAAGCAAAAGTTAGCTGACGCGGGGTTATAGATCAATGGTAGAACATTCACTGCAGGTCGAGAGGTCCCCTTCTTCAGGAAAGCAAACAGAAGTATTTGTTTCAGAATTTCGAAGGCGGGATTGATTTGTCTCGTTTTGTATATTTCTAGACAAAGCAATTTCGTATCCGTTCCTACGGAACGCAAAGCAATAGTTAGCTGACGCGGGGTTATAGATCAATGGTAGAACATTCACTGCAGGTCGAGAGGTCCCCTTCGTCAGGGAAGTGAAGTATTTTCAGAATTTGGAAGGCGGGATTGATTTGTCTCGTTCTGAATATTTCTAGACAAAGCAATTTCGTATCCGTTCCTACGGAACGCAAAGCAAAAGTTAGCTGACGCGGGGTTATAGATCAATGGTAGAGCATTCGACTGCAGGTCAAGAGGTCCCCTTCTTCAGGGAAGCAAAGAGAAGTACTTTTTTCAGAATTTGGAAGGCGGGATTGATTCCTCTCGTTCTGTATATTTCTAGACAAATCAATTTCGTATCCTTTCCTACGGAACGCAAAGCAAAAGTTAGCTGACGCGGGGTTATAGATCAATGGTAGAACATTCACTGCAGGTCGAGAGGTCCCCTTCATCAGGGAAGTGAAGTATTTTCAGAATTTGGAAGGCGGGATTGATTTGTCTCGTTCTGAATATTTCTAGACAAAGCAATTTCGTATCCGTTCCTACGGAACGCAAAGCAAAAGTTAGCTGACGCGGGGTTATAGATCAATGGTAAAACATTCACTGCAGGTCGAGAGGTCCCCTTCATCAGGGAAGCGAAGAAGTATTTTTTTTTCAGAATTTCGAAGGCGGGATTGATTTGTCTCGTTCTGAATATTTCTAGACAAGGCAATTTCGTATCCGTTCCTACGGAACGCAAAGCAAAAGTTAGCTGACGCGGGGTTATAGATCAATGGTAGAGCATTCGACTGCAGGTCAAGAGGTCCCCTTCTTCAGGGAAGCAAAGAGAAGTATTTTTTTGAGAATTTCGAAGGCGGGATTGATTTGTCTCGTTCTGTATATTTCTAGACAAAGCAATTTTGTATCCGTTCCTACGGAACGCAAAGCAAGAGTTAGCTGACGCGGGGTTATAGATCAATGGTAGAGCATTCGACTGCAGGTCGAGAGGTCCCTTTCTTCAGGGAAGCGAAGAGAAGTATTTTTTTCAGAATTTCGAAGGCGGGATTGATTTGTCTCGTTCTGAATATTTCTAGACAAGACAATTTCGTATCCGTTCCTACGGAACGCAAAGCAAAAAGTTAGCTGACGCGGGGTTATAGATCAATGGTAGAACATTCACTGCAGGTCGAGAGGTCCCCTTCATCAGGGAAGTGAAGTATTTTCAGAATTTCGAAGGCGGGATTGATTTGTCTCGCTCTGTATATTTCTAGACAAAGCAATTTCGTATTCGTCCCTACGGAACGCAAAGCAATAGTTAGCTGACGCGGGGTTATAGATCAATGGTAGAGCATTCGACTGCAGGTCGAAAGGTCCCCTTCATCAGGGAAGTGAAGTATTTTCAGAATTTGGAAGGCGGGATTGATTTGTCTCGTTCTGAATATTTCTAGACAAAGCAATTTCGTATCCGTTCCTACGGAACGCAAAGCAAAAGTTAGCTGACGCGGGGTTATAGATCAATGGTAGAGCATTCGACTGCAGGTCAAGAGGTCCCCTTCTTCAGGGAAGCAAAGAAAAGTACTTTTTTTTTTTCAGAATTTGGAAGGCGGGATTGATTCCTCTCGTTCTGTATATTTCTAGACAAATCAATTTCGTATCCTTTCCTACGGAACGCAAAGCAAAAAGTTAGCTGACGCGGGGTTATAGATCAATGGTAGAACATTCACTGCAGGTCGAGGTCCCCTTCATCAGGAAGTGAAGTATTTTCAGAATTTGGAAGGCGGGATTGATTTGTCTCGTTCTGAATATTTCTAGACAAAGCAAATCCCGTTCCTACGGAACGCAAAGCAAAAGTATGACGCGGGGTTATAGATCAATGGTAAAACATTCACTGCAGGTCGAGAGGTCCCCTTCATCAGGGAAGAAGAGAAGATTTTTTCAGAATTTCGAAGGCGGGATTGATTTGTCTCGTTCTGAATATTTCTAGACAAAGCAATTTCGTATCCGTTCTACGGAACGCAAAGCAAAAGTTAGCTGACGCGGGGTTATAGATCAATGGTAGAACATTCACTGCAGGTCGAGAGGTCCCTTTCTTCAGGGAAGCGAAGAGAAAGTATTTTTCAGAATTTCGAAGGCGGGATTGATTTGTCTCGTTCTGAATATTTCTAGACAAGACAATCTCCGTTCCTACGGATATTAGCTGACGCGGGGTTATAGATCAATGGTAGAACATTCACTTTCGAGAGGTCCCCTTCATCAGGGGAAGTGCAACTGAAGTATTTTTTCAGAATTTCGAAGGCGGGATTGATTTGTCTCGCTCTGTATATTTCTAGACAAAGAACGTATTCGTCCCTACGGAACGCAAAGCAATAGTTAGCTGACGCGGGGTTATAGATCAATGGTAGAACATTCACTGCAGGTCGAGAGGTCCCCTTCATCAGGGAAGTGAAGTATTTTCAGAATTTGGAAGGCGGGATTGATTTGTCTCGTTCTGAATATTTCTAGACAAAAGCAATTTCGTATCCGTTCCTACGGAACGCAAAGCAAAAAAGTTAGCTGACGCGGGTTATAGATCAATGGTAAAACATTCACTGCAGGTCGAGAGGGTCCCCCTTCATCAGGGGAAGCGAAGAGAAGTATTTTTTCAGAATTTCGAAGGCGGGATTGATTTGTCTCGCTCTGTATATTTCTAGACAAAGCAATTTCGTATCCGTCCTTACGGAACGCAAAGCAATAGTTAGCTGACGCGGGGTTATAGATCAATGGTAGAACATTCACTGCAGGTCGAGAGGTCCCCTTCTTCAGGAAAGCAAACAGAAGTATTTGTTTCAGAATTTCGAAGGCGGGATTGATTTGTCTCGTTTTGTATATTTCTAGACAAAGCAATTTCGTATCCGTTCCTACGGAACGCAAAGCAATAGTTAGCTGACGCGGGGTTATAGATCAATGGTAGAACATTCACTGCAGGTCGAGAGGTCCCCTTCGTCAGGGAAGTGAAATATTTTCAGAATTTGGAAGGCGGGATTGATTTGTCTCGTTCTGAATATTTCTAGACAAAGCAATTTCGTATCCGTTCCTACGGAACGCAAAGCAAAGATTAGCTGACGCGGGGTTATAGATCAATGGTAGAACATTCACTGCAGGTCGAGAGGTCCCCTTCATCAGGGAAGTGAAGTATTTTCAGAATTTGGAAGGCGGGATTGATTTGTCTCGTTCTGAATATTTCTAGACAAATATATTTCGTATCCTTTCCTACGGAACGCAAAGCAAAAGTTAGCTGACGCGGGGTTATAGATCAATGGTAGAACATTCGACTGCAGTTCAAGAGGTCCCCTTCTTCAGGAAGCAAAGTGAATTATTTTTTCAGAATTTGGAAGGCGGGATTGATTCGTCTCGTTCTGTATATTTCTAGACAAATAATTTCGTATCCTTTCCTACGGAACGCAAAGCAAAAGTTAGCTGACGCGGGGTTATAGATCAATGGTAAAACATTCACTGCAGGTCGAGAGGTCCCCTTCATCAGGGAAGTGAAGCATTTTTTTTAGAATTTCGAAGGCGGGATTGATTTGTCTCGTTCTGAATATTTCTAGACAAGGCAATTTCGTATCCGTTCCTATGGAACGCAAAGCAAAGGTTAGCTGACGCGGAGTTATAGCTCAGTGGTAGAGCATTCGACTGCTGATCGAGAGGTCCCCGGTTCAAACCCGGATGCCAACAGTTTTGGTGTTCAATATTAGGTGTTCAATATTTTTTTTGAGAATTTCGAAGGCGGGATTGTTTTTTCTCATTCTGTATATTTCTAGACAAAGCAATTTTGTATCCGTTCCAACGGAACTCAAAGCAAAGGTTAGCTGACGGGGGTATATCTCAATCTCAGTGGTAGAGCATTCGACTGCAGATGGAGAGGTCCCCGGTTCAAACCCGGGTGCCCTCTTCTTCAAGGAAGTGAAGAGAAATATTTTTTGAGAATTTCGAAGTTGGTAATGATCTGCTCCGTTCTGTATATTTCTAGACAAAACATTTTCGTATCCGTTCCTACGAAACGCAAAGGAAAGGTTCGCTGACACGGGGTGTATAGCTCAGTGGTAGAGGATTCAAATGCAGACAGAGATCCCCGGTTCAATCCCAGGAGCCACTTTCTTCTGGGAAGTGAAGAGAAATATTTTCCTGAGAATTTTGAAGGCGGTCCCGTTCTGTATGTTCCTGTGTGCGCGCGCATCGGAAAAATTTACCCTCATCCTTTTTCACTAACGCCCCAAAAGAAGTATAACTTTAATAATAATTTAGAAAAAAATATCTAATAGTATATGAGATAATACAAAATCGCAAATCGAAGTTAATTTGATGTGTGTGTAGAAGGTTTCATAAAATCTAACAAAGCAGTCCGCTGACTCAAAGATTTTTTCTCCCACAAAATTTCGTCCTAGCATTGTAATATTTTTTTATTCCTTGTTTTGTTGAAAATATATGCTCTCCGCTGGAGTCTTATTTTTTTTCAACTGATGACCCTTTTTCAATTAAGCTGTCTTTCAATTAAAGTGCCTTTTGTCAAATTCTCAACTGTCATTCGACCTTCTGATTGAACTGGGTCTAAAGACTCAAGTTTTTCAATGTCTTGCTCGTGCATTCCTATGAGCTCATCACTTGTTAGCTCCTGACTATGGAATATACTACGTAGATAAGCAAATACGTAAATAACGCAAAATAAATTATTATGCCTAAGCGTTGATTCCGCGCAATACGTCCAAACATATGCATTAGCTAAACTGCAAGCGAGGAGTGTGAGTAATAAAGTTGTGTAGCGCCGAAACAAAAGACGAATCAAGGTGATTTGAAATTCGCGTTAACTCCGGATTCGCGTTAAATCGGGGTAGCGTAAGCCGAGGTATTACTGTACTGCAGTGGCGCACACAAGGGGGGGGAGGTCCTGGAGTGCGCCCCCAAAGCCCTAGATATTTTTTCCGATTGATTATAATTCTAAGTGTATAGTACATAAGATTTAATTAAGTATTTGTTATTAATAATTAATTTTATTAATTAATGCTAATTATTTATTCAATAATTAGTTTTTTACTGTCTTTTGTTCGCGAAAATTGATAAAAACAAAAGGATCATGAAACAAGAATGGTGAACTTTCGACCCCGAACCCCCCCCCCTGAAAGTTCCTGTGTGCGCTACTGCTGTACTGTCATTTTTATAATAGTTTAAGTTCAGTGACTTAAAGGTTGAGTAAAAAAAAATCTAATTAAAAAAGATTTTACTGTCAAGAGATATTTTTTTTGATAACAATCAGTTATATTATTCTTTAAAAAGTTGCAAGGAACAGAAATCTATATTTTTATTTTTACGACGAAAGAAAATTCCAACTTATTTTTGAATGCTAAAAATCATTCTTTGTTGACTCTCCAATAAATTATGTATATCAATGACGGTTGATTTCAATTACGTATGAATACCATATGGGAAAAAATGTCATAAAAAATTCAATATTTCGATGTACAATATATCAATACTTCCTTCACAAATAATGAATCTTGTCATTGAAACGTCACTAATCCAATTACAGATAAGAATCTCGTTTCTCATTATAGCCTTGTTAGAATAAAAAAGAAGTTAAAGGACGCGCGCGAAAAAAAATTATGAACAAAATTTTATAAAAACTAAAAATCATCGACTTCGGTTCAAAGTTCAGTACAATGAATGATATCCTTTGAATTGAACTTTGAATAGACTGAATATACTGAAAGATAGATTGATTAGTGCTTTTCCATTTAATATGCATAATTTTACGTTGAAAATCTCGAAGCCCACCTTAAAAGGAAATGATAATAGCTCAAGACGGTTTGGATATTTATTTTGATTTCCGGATGTTTTATAATATTTCTAACGCTTAAACATTTCCTTGTGTTTTTTTAGTTAAACACTACGTTTAATAAAAATATTATAACCATAAGTATTTTTATTTTTCACAATTTAATTGTAACAGAATTCTAATGTGTTGATATTTTATCAAACCACACGCACAAAATCTTTAAATATTTTCATATTTTTTTAAAATTATTCAAATATTCTGATTTGATGGTATTTTTACTTGGTTTGAAAAAAACGATACAAATTTGTGATTAAGCCAGCTACTTCAAAAAACAAATCTTTTTGTGATTTAAATACTATTTTATGTTTAAAGATCTTGACAATTTATTTTTAAATTCAACTTAAATAAATATTAATTATAAAATTATTCTTACATAAAATAAAGTTTTATGTTTTGTTTGATTTGTTATTTTTTGCTTCATAAAAGATTGGTTGAAAAATATAATGAGTATGTGATTTTAGAATGTCTTTGTAAGCTCTCTTGATGACAGTTAAGCTCATTATATGTTCATATTTGTTTATGGCACGATGAATATGGACCAGTAACCCTGCTGAATGGAAAAGGGACCGTGGTAGCCTAGTGACCATGACCACGAATTCGTAGCCGGCATTAGAGTTGCGGGTTCGAGTCTGGTGGAACTGAAGACTCGCCATGTACAGGGGCAGAGCACATTAAATCTGTCGTGGCTCGATGTCCTCCTGTTGGCATAGAGTGAAAGTTCGGAGAGAGGTAGCCAGCTCATCTATCGTCCTTGTCTCTTGACCGAAATTCAAAATCACGAGGTCCGTCGCTAATAGCACTCGTGTTGCTTTATGATACGACGTAAATAAACACAAACGTCATCTTATGTATTTGCATACGAGTTGGAATTCCTTAAGGGGGTTCGGCACGTCCGTAGGAGCCCCTGTTATATTGCGTAAGTTTATGTGCATTTTTCTTAGAAACTACATATTTCTCATGGATAAAATATTTACAGTGGGTTAATTATACTATTGACAACAATTTAACGAAGGGTTTTGTCTTTTTGTACAAAATTAAATTATGAATTTTTAAAAAATTGTCCAATTTTTTCCTTAAAATTTAGTTTAAAAAAGTCATTTCTAAAACAATTTGCTAGATATATCTAATTCCCTTCATGAAAATATATAAATATGTTAAAAGTCTGCTCACTGAAAATTTAAGGATTATATGATAAATAGTTTTTGAGAAAAAGGTACATAAATAAAAAAAATTTACGTTTTGAAAAAACAGGCTTTAAATTGAAAATTTGAAATTTTTTGAGCCTTTACTTTTTAATACTTTTCAGAAGCACATGAAGCAGTATTTTTACTCTCTGCTCATACAAAAGACTCTTCTTAATTTCTTTTTTTCATTATTTTTAACAATTTTGCCTTTTTTGAGATCTCAAGATGCTTTCGTTGGGCTGCACGAATCCTACGTGTATCGAGATTTTTGAAGCATGACACACAGTTATAACTTGGTTCAATATCGGAATGTTTTAAGATAATTAATTTTGCTACATGACTCGTATTTAACTGTTCAATAGCTATATTCACCCCCAATTTTAGAATATTCAATTCCACAAATGTAGATCTTGGAATCATTGACCATATGGTGTTATTAACTGACTCATTTGGGTTCTGTGTCTTTCCATGTAAACATTTTCTTAATAACATAGGATCACCTAGATCTCTAAAATTTGGCTTCATTTAATTCATTATGATATATAGCACGTGTTTATGATTATAGTGCCTTTCGTTGCATTCAGCTTCTGTCTTTTGAAACTTGCACCAGACGTTTATAATCGCAGGACACAGCCCATGTTGAGGGCTCTCGTTTGAAGACAGAAGATAAAAATAAACAGCCCAAAACAGCAATTTTCATGCTGTGTAGATCATTGATATTATTTCTAATAGCCAAACTATAACATCTTTGAATTTTTTATATTAAATGTCGGTGAGTCAGTTACGACCCCACTTAGGCTTTTTCCATCACTTAACTTTGTGGCCGCGGTAGCCGAGTATAGGTATCGGATCGTGGCTTGCCTGGTCACGAGTTCGATCCCAGTATCACTAAAGACCCGCCGTGTAGGGCAGCGATGCACGCTAAATCTGTCGAGAGCTGAAACGTCCTCCCGTTGGTGTGGTGTGGTAGTTAGGAGAGGGGGGGTGCCAGCTCAGGTGTCGTCCACGTCACTTGACCATGGTTCAGAATTACGTGGTCCGTCGCCAAAAGCCCTCGTTAGCTGAACAGTGCGACGTTAATATTAAATCAAATCAAATCAAATCAATCACTTAACTTTTTTTTCTGTTTCGCTTCCAAGATCCAAAAGACGTATACCCATACACTTTTGGTTAAGCCCAATACACTCTAATTTTTCCACTTGAACATCATATGGATTCACGTTCATCAGAAACTTATGCAAGGGGAAACACAGGTGCTCCTAGCAGAGCTCATTTGATGTGCGGCAAGGAGTAGCTTCATTTAAAAAATTTTACAAAAATACTTCTAATTATCGTATTTCCTCATATCATACATCATTTTAAACAGAAATGTATAAACATTAAAAAAGTACAAAAAAATGAATTGATAATTTTTTCAAAAATTTATGTGCCGGACCCCTTAACAAATTGAAAATAGGATCTATCTTAAGATGCTCCGACAAACCAAAACTTCTGGGTTCAGGAAACTGTTTAAAATTCCTAAATAGTTCTGGAATAATTTGTAACTTTATTTCTCATTGTGTCAGTATAATATACTGTATATTGACACAACGAGAAATATAGTTTTACTATAGTGTAAAATCTTTTTTTGCAAAAAAAAAATTCACATGAAAAGAGTTGCTTCACCTTTTGAGAAATAATTAAAGTTAATTTTTTTGCATTAAAATATACACATTATGTAAGACTAGGTTATGACGTAGCACACCAGATCCACGAGTTTTATAAGTACTCACGCGTTTTTTAACCCTGACCTCAAAAATCTGCGTGCCGCTATCGGACATAATTTTCTTCGGAGTTCAAAGTGTTGTATATCCGCACGATAAAGGAAGTAGGATTATT